CTGATTCATATAATTTTCAATCTTTTAAGTCGTCTGTCAACCGTTATCTCGCTCTACAATCTTCTTCTTTTCTCTTCCAGTAACTTTCAACACTAATTAGTGGTTGCTTGCAGCCTTGAAAGCAAAGATGTTAAAAAAAAGAAAAAAATGTATGTATGTATGTATATAAGTATGTATGTATGTGCAAAAGGGGAAACGTTAAATCCAAACCGTCAAAGTGCTGTTTGAACAGTTTTTAAAAATTCTAGACCCGATTACGGCATTTACAATGGGATATAAATGTTATCAAATTGATATTAAACGAAAATATTATTAATAATAACATGATTAATAATAAATATTAAATACAAATGTTATTAAATATTATTAAAAATCTCAGAGTTTTTTTTATTTTAAAGTACAACTATTTTTCCTTTGGAGATTGCATCGGTCAGTAAAATTTAGATTGCACTTTGAAGGATTGGATTTAGTGTTTTCCGTGCAAAAACGTTGCGTTTATACATAAACAAATGCTTTTTAAACTTATAGAAAATTATATCTATGTCAATCGCTGTGTTAATTGATAGAGGAAATTGATTTATTTATTGTTTTTTTATCACAACCTCTAAATAAACTTGTCTTCTAATAAAAAGTTTTTAAATGTATAAAAAAAAAAATTACAAATAAAGATTTTGTTAAAAAAAAAAAAATACAGAGCGTTCAGATTTAAACAGACAAGAAGGCCTATGCACCGAGAACCACTAAAGTTAAACACAAATATTAATTTACGCATATTGATAAAATTTACATTACAGTAATTTTGATTGGGATTTAATTTTAAATTATAAAATAAAAAATTATTATATAATTGACTGCAATATATGATCAGTTGAAAAAATGAGTTTTTAAAATAATTATTTTTTTTAAAGAATTGAAGTTGCATCGCATGTTTGAAAGCTTTCACTTTATTTGATAGCAAATGCAAAACTCTGCAAAGACAAGTTATATAATCTTTTTGCCGTTATACAGGTTCAAGTTTACTTTTTTTTAGTGCTACACCACCTTTCTTGGCTAATATGTCAGCAAATGATATGTCAACGAATAATATGTCAACTAATAAAAGAAAGAAAAAGTAATATAATTGAAGTAAAGTACGTTTTTTTAGAACGCTTTTGTTTTGTTTAAATAACATTTAAACATGAAATTATTAAAAACATTAAAAAAAAAAAAAATTAAAACCATCTGTAAGCAATAATTTCGTTTAGGTTATATATTTTGAATAAAATATTACTATAAATAAAAAATAAAATGGGCCCTCATATTGATCCTTGTAATATTTTTTAAAAAAATTTGTGGTTATGGATTCTTAAGTCTAAGTCATTAAAAACATTGACATAAAACACTCACAAAAAACACCCAAAGAAAATACTCTCCAAGAAAATGAGAACTTTTAAAATAGCCGGAAATATTTTCAGTAAACTGAAGAATTTTAGAAATGTAACTAGACTAATGATTTTTAAAAGTTTTTAAAAACTTTTCCAAATGAAAATATTTCATAAAATAAATTGAAGAGTGTTCAGAAAACTTGAGTATAAATTAAGTAAAACTTTTTCGAGAATCTATATGGATCACTGTATAAAAAATCATCAGTAGAAAGAAACATTATATTTGGTATCTTACCTCTTTAATCTTGTGGAAAAATTTATTGTTTTTAATGAAATTGAAAAAATCTTAAAAATTAATTTTATTTATTGTTATTAGTAATTTTTATAATTTATTATTAATAATATTTGGTAAAATCATTTACTCTTACTTTCTTCAACATATTTTTTTTTTGTTTTTTTTTTGTTTTGTTTTTAATTTATTTACCTCTTCAAGTCCAAGCCGCTGTATAGTAAAAAAGACAATTTTTATAAAAATAATTTTTTTTTAGTTGTTATTACATTCTTTCTTCAGCGCTATAATCAATTGTTTTCACAAAACAGAACATCTTACAATAAAGAACGTTTTTATGATAGAGCTCGTTTAATTTTATGTAAAATATGTAACAAGTGTTTCATTTGGTTTTAGTGCAGCGTATTTTTTTGTGGAAACCCGGTAAGCTCAATATTTTAAGTTAAATATATAAACATTAGAAAAGTTTAATATAAAAATTTAAAGTAAAAATGCATTTAAGCATTTTTTTTTAGTTTAATTTAATCCTAAATATAACGTGATCATAAATGTTGCAGGAAAATACGTACATCCTTATAAAGCATTTTATCTTTGGAATGCGGAATGTTTGTATTGAAATTCAATTGATTGTTAAATCTTTTTATTATTTCGATGCATGGAAAAATTAAGTTCAATATTAATAAGATATATATATATATATATATATTATATATATATATATATATATATATATATATATATATATATATATATATATATATATATATATATATATATATATATATATATAAATTATGTTAGTGAATTCTACAAAAAGAGTGCTCAATGTTCTTACAGAACAGAGCAATAATAATTTAGTAAAAATACTTATCTAACTTTTGTACTCTGCAACAGCATAACAGCACAACAGTTTCGCCATAAGCATCAGCTTCCTGATGAACCTAATGATGGGGAAACATGCTGTTGAAGAGCACAGAAGTTAGATAAATGTTTTTACTAAATTATATATATACATATATATATATATATATATATATATATATATATATATATATATATATATATATATATATATATATATATATATATATATATATATATATATATATATATATATACATATATATATATATATATATTATATATATATATGTATATATATATTCTTATAGTGTAGTCGAAAGATACTTTAATGGTAAAATAAGTCTCTTTCGACAACAATTTTTTTACCTTGTCTCTTAAGCTGCATTTTATTGTCGTCGAAATGTCAAAGCAATTGCTTTGACATTTCGACGACAATAAATTAATGCAAATAAATAAATTAATGCAAATACATTAAATTTTATTGTTTTTAAAAAAACCGCAATAATAATGACTAGAAAGTTTTTTTAATTAGTTGCTACATCGACTATCTTATATCCTGACTCGCAACAGAGTGCTGCTAAATCGACTGACAAATAGCCTGACTCGCAAGGAAATGCTGCTACATCAACTGACAAATAGTCTGACTTGCAAAGGAGTGCTGCTACATCGACTGACAAATAGCCTAACTCGCAAGGGAGTGCTGCTACATCGACTGAGGGTTTGGTTTGGGCAGGCAGCCTATCATTTAAAAAATATATATGTATATATATATATATATATATATATATATATATATATATATATATATATATATATATATATATATATATATATATATACATACAAATAAAACATTTTGATAGCATCTAAGCGTTGGATATCTGAAAAACAACAACACTCACAAAATAATTAGTGATTCGAAAAACTCAAATCATTTTTTTCGAATCGATTCTTGAATCGAAGCGACACTTGATTCGCGAATCTAATTGATTCGCAGGGCCCAAATACATACATATATATATATATATATATATATATATATATATATATATATATATATATATATATATATATATATATATATATATATATATATATATATATATATTTACACAAACACACGTAATGATTGATTTATGACTTAAATATTTTTTTCTTTTATGTATAGATTTATAGGTAAACAACAGAAGCATAAACCCTCAGGGTATTTAACACCTTATATGTAGTCTCATGGTATATACCACTTTATACCACTTTCGTTTGTGCTTTTACTTTTTTTTTCTTTTTGTATTTGGTTTAGTTTCAACACTTATACACTGTTTACTGAAGATCAGTATAACTTACTATTTATCACGTTATTTCTTACGTGGGCATGTTACTGTAATGAAAATTCCTTGATGCAACCGTGATGAAAATTGCATGTCAGTTTGAACTTCCTTTTGTAATTAAAATAATAGCTCAAACATCTTGAAGTTACTATGGAAAATTAAAAAAAATTACAAAAATAGAGAATGTAAATAAAAACAAAAAGCTTTAAAATATGAAAACAAGTATAAAACTTATGAGTATATTCGAATTAAATATATTAATACTTTACTAAAAAGTGTTAAAAGCAATTTTGTCAAAGACCAAAATTTATATTTTAATTATCTAATACATAACATGATGTTAATGATATTAGTGATTCCCGGTTCAAATTTTTTATTGATATTAAATTCATTAGCATAGCATTCATTTAATCATTTTTGTGTCACTTTTTTCTATTTTGTTAGGTTTTATTACTTTAATATTAACATTTTATTACGTGTGTGTCTAAACGCACACCCATTACATACGGTATATTTACATATACATTATATATTATTATATGTATATATATATTAATTTTTATATATATATATATATATATATATATATATATATATATATATATATATATATATATATATATATATATATATATATATATATATATATATACGTATTATATATATTTAAAAATTGAGTAAAAGTTTTTTTTAACCAACTAAGCAATATATGGAGTATTTTTTTTATTTTTCAAACAAAGTATTTACAAAAAGTTACATTACCTAATTAGATAAATTGTATTAAATATATTAAAGTTTATTATTTTTAGCATTAGTGCTAAAAAAAGATACTCCATATATTGTTTATTTGGTTGACAAACAACGATTTACTCACTTCATACTCATTAATATATATATATATATATATATATATATATATATATATATATATATATATATATATATATATATATATATATATATATATATATATATATATATATATATATATATACATATATATATATATATATATATATATATATATATATATATATATATATATATATATATATATATATATATATATATATATATATATATATATATATATATATATATATATAATTTTAAAAGCCATATGTTTATTTATGTATAAATAATATTTTTAGAATAAAAATGAATAGCAAAACTATTATTTTGGCGGTCTTAATGATGGTATCTATGATGAGCAGCGTAATAGCAGTAGGAACCATTGAAAACCAAACATTGATAAATTCTAAAACATTTACATGGCAATCAACAACACAAAAGTTATCTTTCATTTCTCAAAAAGCAACTAAAAAACCAGGTATTGATATTTCTAAACTCTCCCTGCTCGAAATTTGTAACATTTTTAAAATTTCGACACAGAACTGCTCGTGTACAGTGCTTATGATGAAGCCATTATGCGACTTTTTAAATATAACAACTGTATCAATAAAGTTCAAATGCGATTCTATAAGTAACACAGGAATAGCAATTGCAAATATTATATCTTCAGTTCTTGGGCTTTTTGGCAACGGATTAGTAATTGCCTTTGCTTTTATGAACCGAAAAGATTCCTCAAGATTTAGACATTTAATATCTGGTCTTGCGATTGCTGATTTTGCATTTGCTGCTATTCTTTTTTTGATGAGTGTACCTCAAACATGGACTTGCAAATGGATATATGGCCTAATCATGTGCAAGTTGCTACGCGCATCATTGGCTGGTACTGCAAACATTGCTGTTGGATTTATAGTTATAATTGCAATAGATCGATTTTTTGGCATCATGTTACCATTTAGCAAATTCTTAAGTACAAACAAAATGCGCTTTATTGTATGTTTAAATGTTTTTGTAGGAATCGTATCTGTTATACCTCCCTTAGTTGTGCTTAAGGAAGGTGAGTTTACAACATGTGTAGAAGTTTGGAGCAAGGAAAAGTCGCGCATTTACACATGGTCATTATTTTTTTTGTACTATATTTTACCAATTGTTTCACTTTCTGTATTATACGGCGTCATGATGGTTTGGTTGAAAAGATCATACCAACAAAATAACATTTTAAGAGATGAGCAACTTAAATCTCGATATCGAAACAATAAGAATGTTATGATCATGCTTGTATCAATTTTAGTTTTATTTGCAATCTTGGTCCTACCTAATCGAATTTATTGGATTATTAACGACCAATACAATCTTAATAACATAAAAAATGCGAAAATTATAAGGTTTCTAAAAATGTTTTCCGATATACCCTACGGTCTTCATGCCGCTGTCAACCCGATAATTTATTCAGTGGTAGATATAAAATTCAAACAACAGTTGAAGGTTTTTTTTTGTGGTAAAAAGTTTGCTAGTTTTTCAATTTATTCACGCAAAACATTTATTTCAACTATCTCGATGAACAGTAAAGTATCTACATCAACCATATCAATGAACAGTAAAGTTTCTACATCAAGTTGCCAATAAACCAGTTTTAGAAATACGATAACAAATTAATGCACTCATAAGTTGAAGTATGCTTTAAATTAGTAATATATAAACTTGGCTTATGAAAACAAATTCAAAAAAATTTAATTGGATTAAATTTTTATATATATTTAACTAATATACTTTTGCTCAAATATCAATGTAAATAAATAATATATACTAACACGATTTTGTGGTTGTAGAAATAAGTAGAATATTTGTATTTATAACTTTTAGATTTGTATATAAATGGCTTAGTGTAACCTGGGGCCCTATAAGTTTACTCATATAGTTGGTATTTTTTTATTTATTTTTAGTTTATGTATTATTTTGATATATTATGTAAGAATGAACATAGATAAAACGCATAAAGGTAAAAATAAAAATTAATTTGTCAAACTACAAAAGCATAAAAAAATTAGCTTTATCTAACAAATCGAGAAAATCATTAGCGTATTGGAGTGCGGATTAAACTAAAGTTAAACCATTGAAAATTTGAACTAATAAGATAAGTAATTTTTTTAATATCTTGAACCATTTTTAAATTTATCGAAAGGATTTTAATTTCTTCTTATAATCTTTCTTTCAAAATGCCGTCAGCCCATCGATGCAGGCTGCTTGGTTCGTGTACAGACGAATCCCATCTTATTGTATTTAAATCTTGTTTTACTTGCAGAGTAACTTAATTGCTATGCAGCCGTAGTGTAGTGGTCAGAGTTCTGGATTCAAGTCTGGGGGTCTGTGGTTTAAAGCCGACTTTGTCCTTATATAAATATTATTGGTAAGGAATGAAGTATGAATTTTTTTAGTTGTATCCGATTCCGCGGAACACTGTGATAAGACTATTAGGACTTCTTGAAACACCTAAATAACTAACCCCCTCCCCCCTCCTCCTTCTCAAAAAAAAAAAAATTAAATAACTTTAACCAATAAAAACTAACATATTATAAACTCCAAATTTAATAAAGAAGATTATATGATTTATTTTAAATGTACATGAATTAAATTAACAATACTTAAAAACTCAATACAAATAGTTTTGATCATATCACTTTTGCAATGTAAAAAAGCTTTTAGAATAGCAGCAGTAAACGTTTTATGAAAAAAAAAATTAAAGTTTTATGTTTAAAAAAAAAATAAAGTTTAAGATTAAACAAAATAAGCAAAATCTTTTCCAAAATAAGTTAAAAATTTTTAAAATATTTGAGGTTCTTGACAATAATATTTTAGATTTTTTCTTAAATATTTTTATGTCAGTTATTTTTCACATCGGTATTTACACATCAATGTGATACAATGTTTGATGAAATATCAATGTTTTGAATATCATTAAACGATTTTACATTCACTTGAGATATAAGTTTGCTAGAATTCAAATATTATCTACTAGGTATCAAATAGTGACGTTCGTGGACCTTTCATGAAATTACTGGACCATTCGTAACATTTCTGGACCTTGCTTTTCCCTTATTTTTCTTGAACAAAGTAAATTCCAAATGCACAAAAATGTTTTGCAAACATCCTTTAATGTTAAACTACAACATTTCTTATCGCTTATTTTCTATATAATGCCTTCATAAAGTTACGATAACGTAAATATAGTTTTAATTAAGTTCTCCATCTCGGAGCACATTCTTACATCTTCCTCTTCTTCTGTAAATGAAATGTTTTACTGTTTCTGTTTTATAATGTTTTAATACTTCCTCCATAATTCTATAGGACGTCTTTCTCTTTTAGGATATGTCTTCAGAATTGGTTCTTGATGATAGCTTCTTAGTTGTGTCGGCATAGTAGCTGTTATTTCCTTTTCTGGAAAAATTGGTTCGTTCTGGAGGTATTCTTCATCTTTCTCTTCTTTAATTGGTATCGAATTAAATTGTATATCCATTGGTACTTTCTTCATGTTTGAAGCATTTTGAGTTTTTTGAGAATTGTCGACGGGAGATTTTGCAGTGATCATTGTACCATTCTTTGCAGTAATTGTGTAGGGTTTGAACTTGAATGGTGCCGTAATTTTGTTATATTTTGTTTGTTTTATCAGTACTGTATCCCCGATATTTAAATTTGGATTTTTTGCGTGGTATTTTAAATCGTGATATTTTTTTCTGTATAACTTAGCATTTTCTTGTCTCTTTTTGGCTTGATCATTGATATTTGTATCGACCCTTATTTGGAATGAAGGTATTGTAAAACCTGTAACGCGATTAAACATAAGTTTAGATGGTTGTATTCGGGTTGTGCAATGGGGTGTGGTACGGTAGGAAAACAGGAAGTTGTATAACTGCTTTTTCCAGTCTTTCCGTTCAATGTGTGCTGCTCGTATTGTTTTAATCAGTGGTTTTATAAAGGATTCGGCTTGTGAGTTTGCTTGCGGCCAAAGCGGGGTGATTCCTTTATGTTGAATATTCAGTTTGTTCAAAAACATCTTTGTTTTGAATGAAGTAAAAGGTGGTCCATTATCGCTGACAATCGTTTTCGGTATTCCATATACTGCAATCGTTTTCTGTAGAAAATCAATAAGGAGGTCAGCAGATGTATTATGTATAATATCGACAACCAGAAATTTTGATGTTTGGTCTATAAGGACTACCACATAAAATCCATTAGGTAAAGGACCAAGGTAATCTATATTAACGGTGTCCCAAACTTCCTCTAGTGTCGGTGTGATTAATAGTTCTGCTGGGGCATTTTGTTTACCAAGGGCTTGACAAATTGCCCATCGTTTTACATATTCTTCTACTTTAGTGTCTAGACCAGGAAAGTAAACTTTTTCTCTAAGTAATGATTTGGTTTTCTCAAGTCCCTTGTGACTATTATGAGCAAGCTGTATAACCGTAATTTCCAGAGAATGTACAATTCGAACCGTAATTTCCTGGAAGTACAATTCGATTTGCTTTTAAAATAAGGTCTGAAGTCTGATTTACTGTAAGTTCTTGGCGTATATTACAGTAAGCAAGTAAATCTTTTTGAAATTTTTTTAGTTCTGGCGGGCAATTCGGATGTAATAGTTTATGCCAGGTATTAGTAGTAATTAACTCTGAAAGTATTTGTAGAATAGGATCGGCTTTAGTTTCTCTTTGAATATCCAGTAGTGAAAAGGGGTTTAGGACATGCGTATTCAGCTGTAAAATTGACATATTTTTCTAACCCTTCGTCCTCACAAGGGTCTACAGGGTGTCGACTAAATAATCAGATATATTATTTTTTCCTTTTACGTAGTGTAGATCAAAAGAATATCCCTGTAATTGTAAAGTTATACGCTCAATGCGAAGTGGTACTGTAGCGTTTGGGTTGTTTAAAATCTTTACAATAGCTTTATGGTCGCTGTACATTTTAAAAGGGTGTCCAAATAGGTATGTTTTGTTATGCTCGCAGGCGTATACTATAGCTAAACATTCTCTTTTGAGCGTAGAGTAGCGTTGTTGTACAGGCAATAGCGCTTTCGAATTATAAGATATTAGTTTAAAATCTTGTTTATTTGGAGTGTTTTGAACAATGACTGCCGATATGCCTACAAGACTTGCATCTGTAAAGACAGTAGTCTCTTTGTTGGGATCGAAGTATCCGACACATGAGTCCAATGTCATAGTGTTTTTTAGTTTGTCAAATGCATGCTGACACTCAAGGTTCCAGTTCCATAAGGAATCTTTATGCAGAAGGTTTCTCAATGGATAAGTAATTGTACTGTAGTGTAGAATGGAACGTTTAAAATAGTTCATAAGCCCGAGAAAACTTTGGAGAGCTTTAGTGTTTTCTGGTGTTGGGATGTTCTTGATATTATAAAGTTTTTCCGGATCTGGTTCCATTTCTTCTTTTGAAAATATAAATCCATAAAATTTGACTTTTTCTTTTCCAAATAAGCATTTTTCAAAATTTAGAGTTAAACCTCTCTGTTTAAATCTTTCTAATACTTTATGTAATATTAAATAGTGCTCTTTTGTATTCGAAGCAAAATTCTATTTTGGAGGCATTCTTTGATGTAGAGATTGGCAGTCAAGGTCTTCTTATTGACAAAACAAGAGGATTGCATACCACAGTTACATATGCTTGCCACACAAGGAACTTAGATGCAAAATTTTCTCATCAAATATATTTAAATAGATCATCCATAGATTTATCTTTGTTCTCATAAAAAATTGTTGACCAGGAAAGAAGGAAATCCCCATTGCAATATATTACTTTTATTTCACCATTTAAGCTTCTCTTAGGTGCATTTTTCTTATGAAATGTTTTAATTTCAGCATTTTTAAGTACTTTTTTGATATAAGAACAAGAAGTTTTGAGTTTTCTTGCTAGATTGCTTGGTGATAAGACAAATTGTGTCTTCTTCTTGCCCCGGCTATCTGTATTTATACTGAAATATTGGTTGTATGTATATATACTTATATGGCAGAAAAAAATCTCTCTGTGACTGGTTTGGATTTCTTTCTATTGAACGTAAAGTCAACTTTACCTATTTGGATTTATGAAAAGTTTTCTTTCTTCCACTTTCAAGTTTTCTTTCGAAGCTTTGAGTAGCCTTGAACCTAATTATAATATTTATGCTGTAGATTTTGGGACAATTGTACGTTTAGCAATCAACTTTTTTACGCACCTCAATTTGTTCCGAAACATTTTTCAAATCATTAATTTGTAAACAAATGTTTATCAACACAATTAAATATAAGGAAGTACCGTTTAAATTAAAAAAAAAATAAAAAAAAAAAAAGAATTTGTGGTTTTAAAGTAATCTCAATTTAAATTTGACCGAATTTTTTCGTGTCCATCCTATATATAATACTACATTCACTATATATATATATTCATTGAATAACAAAGTCAAGTAATCAAGTAACAACCCAGACAGCAAGTATATACTGGTCCGATAATGGCTAGCCAATGCCAGAGAATTCTTTAAAGGTCTGACAAAATTCCGTTCTTGTATTGCCAGTTCTAAAAAGCCGTAACAGGACCATTGCCGAGCCTTTATAAAATTGCCTGAGCAGGGTAGCCACAAAAAAGCCATTAATGGTCCAACGAAGATTTGCTGAAGCAGAACAACAGGCATTAGGCAGATACTGGCCCATCAGTGGCAATAATGATATAAACAAGAGCATTTGCGTTTACTGCGCAGAATTTTGCATCCATCTTGTAAGTCGTTTTTTTTCGCTTTTCATACAAATGTATCTTAAAACTTTATTGTTTAAAAAAATACTTTCAAGTGATTTGTAATAAAATATCCGCCTAAAATATTACATCCCCCATAGAAAAAATGAAAACGAGAACGCGCTTTCGAGTCATTGCACTTAGAAGTGTATCAAATACGTCCGAAACATTCAATTATAAACAAAATAATAAAAACGCAACGGGATTCATAAAAACGTTTTTCTACTAATATACTATAAATAAAGTTAGCATAAAATGGTAATATATTTTAAATTCTTATTTATAAAATTTTGATCGTAATGTATTGTGTGACAATGGTATAGAAAAAGATTACACATGTGGGATATAATACTTTAGGTAATAAAAATAATAACCGTTTGTAGGTACGCGGAAATCCGTGTTTTACGGAACCGAATTTTGTACTAAAATTTTGTGCTAGGTTTTTTAAACTTTTTTTTAGGTAACGTCAGGCGAACGTATTTTTGTGGCGTTTCTGTTTAGAAACATTACTAAACTTAGATTATTTTTGAAAAAAAGAATAGTTAAACTTGATTAATATATAACATTTATGTGTGGTTGGTAATTTTTGTATTGCTTTTATTTGTATTAAAAACTTGGTTGTTGTTCTCACATTAAATTATTGTCAAAGAAATGCTCAGATAGTTTGCAAACCTACCCAGATAGTTTTTTACATATATTTTTTATCTACCTACCAAATTTCATTGAAAAATATTATTGAGCAGATAGTCTATAAAAGTGAGCAGTTTTGGTACCTCATTTCTGTTTTTCTGATTTCCGTAAGTGGGTGGTAAGAGGGGTACAAACAAGTTGAATTTTATTTGGTTAGTTAAGTAATTATTTATGTTATATGTATAATATATATATATATATATATATATATATATATATATATATATATATATATATATATATATATATATATATAATATATATATACATACATATATATATATATATATATATTATATACATATATATATATACTATATATATATATATAATATATATATATATATATATATATATATATATATATGTATATATGTATATATATATATATACATGTATATATATATATATATGTATATATGTATATATTATATATATATATATATATACATGTATATATATATATATATATATATATATATATATATATATATATATATATATATATATATATATATATATATATATATATATTATATATATATATATATATATATATATATATATATATATATATATATATATATATAGATATATATAAGTTTTTTTTTTTAATAAAATAAATTAGTAAAAATATACAAACTAATATTAATTAATATAAAAAATCTAATAAATTACTGCAAAAAAAAATATATATATATATATATATTTCATATATAATAATATATATATATATATATATATATATATATATATATATATATATATATATATATATATATATATATATATATATATATAATTATATATATATATATATATATATATATATATATATATATATATATATATATATATATATAATAATAATAATAATAATAATAATAATAATAATAATAATAATAATATTATATATATATATATATATATATATATATATATATATATATATATATATATATATATATATATATATATATATATATATATATATATATATATATATATTAATACAATTAGATATAGACTGCCAATAAGATGTTTTTTTCTTTTTCTTATTTTTTCAGTAGTTTATTAGATTTTTTATATTAATTAATATTAGTTTGTATATTTTTACTAGTTTATTTTATTTTAAAAGTGAAAATTACTATTTATTTTAGTGTGACTTGTTTATAGTTTCTAAAATTTTGTTGGTTTCATTGAAATTGAAAACATAAGCGTTGATTACTATAATTCTAGCTATAGGTATGATGGTATTTTAATAACTCTTTATATTATCACATGTTTTATGATGTCAGTATACATTGGCATTTTTGTCTGTGTGTATAAATAGTATTTTTTAATTACGCAATAATACAGTATTATTATAAATGTTTTTAATAATAAAAGTATAATATTGTTTATAATTTAATGTTATATCATTATTCGGTAGTTATTCAAGACTTTCTTTACATTTTTTTTTGTAAATAAAGTTGCTTTTTGTGCCCCGGCAATAGGCACAATAAGCAACTTTAATTTTTGTTCTTAGTACAGTTAAAGAGTATTTAAATACACACTTCTTTTTATCTGCCAAAACTTGCAGTTGTTGTAAAAATAGATATGTATCTTTTTTATTCATTAACAGTGTCAAGTCATTTGTTATAACTATTATTTAGTTTAAACATTTGTAAACCACATTTCTTTAGGGTTTTGAAAAGATGCAAAAGTTGGTTTTGCAACTTTACAAGGGATAGTTGTCGTAATAAGGAATTTTGTAATGAACCCTGTATATGCATTGCACAAATCTTGCCCATCTTTCTATCATCATGTCCCTCCAAGTAGTTCTCTTACTACTGTTTTAAGTAGTTTAGATAATTCACCACTTGAGCACATAAGTAATTTATCACCACTAAATCACTAGCCTTTATTTTCCAAACATTCTGTTAACAATAAAAAGGCATGAATCAAGAGGAGAAATAAGCCCTAGAAAAAAAAGGTTTGAATACCAGATTGTCCTATTTAACTTCTTAGCTTGCTGTTACATCCAGCAAGTATTGAAATAAATTAGTAATAGTGACGGCAAAATTAAAAAGCATGGCATACAAATTGAAAGTACTGAGACAAAAATTACATAAAAGAAACAAATTGTTAAAGTTTTAAGAGCTGAACTTAGAGATCTTAAACAAAATTTGCAAACATATTATTACAGTAAGATAATATGCAATCTTAAAGCTTAAAAAAAAGCAATGAAAATTTCAGAACTTTAAAAGCTAAAATAAGTTAAAGTTGTACATAATATTAAGGCAAATAAAATGCTTATAGCTAGTTACGAATATTTGCTTGCATATATGTAAAGCAGTTGATCATCTAACTTTTATTTAGATTTTCATTTAGCATCTTTTAATGATAGTGATCAATCAATCATCTCAAATATATCAAACGCAATGTCAGCCAAAGTTGCAATTAACCATCTTACCATAAGCAAACTGTGTGACATTTAAGGGGAAAGTTTGAATGAGCTAAACTGCCATTTACACGCTCTTGATATAATTGCTACCTCATGGCTGGGTATGATTGTATGGCATTTAAAATAGTTTTGGCTATGAACAAGTTGAGGTTTAAACATGGCAAAGGTGATTCAAAAAGATTTGTTAGTTTTTAGATGATCAAAAACTACCACAAGGTATCATTCCAAGGTATCGAGGAAATCGTCTTCATATTTATTTTCATACTTGTTTTATTTTTATAAAACATTTAATGAGTTTGAGCATTTTTTAACCATTGGTACAGTAATATGCATAACTATACAAAAAGTTCTTAGAGCATTTTGAAGAGTATTTTGTAACAAAACAGCTCTTAGAGTATTTTGTAACAAAACAGCTCTAAAGCAAAAATGTGTGCTTGCATTATTTGGAAAACCACCTCCTCAAAGTCACATAAAACTTTGTCATCCAGTTTCCAGCCTGGATGACAAAATTGTGTGTGACTGTTGAGGAGGCAAATTTTGACCATTATAGTGGAATCCTGGTATTAAAAAATATTTTACTAAAAATTGCAGATTCTAAATCAAATCCAGGTTCACTTTTTAAAATGACCTTGAACCAAATATTTTAGATCCAATAAAAAATGTTTTGTTTGATTGATGAACACTTTATTAATATGACTTTTGCTTGTCTTATTGCAGTAGGAGACGTCATAACTCATCAATGTAAGAGATATTTCTCACTTTCTATTAACCAGACTCTCAAGGAGGAAGTAGCATGTGCAAGGCAGCACAATATAAATAGTGAAGAGTTAATGGGAATGTTTAGTGAGGCTGAAGAAAGATCACCTAATGCAACAGTTTGTTATGTTTCATATAAATTAAATTACCTAGAAAGTTTAGATCAATTATCTAGAGAAAATATAGTTATGTGGTCGATTCAGAAACCCATAAAAATGTAGTTATGTGGTCGATTCAGAAACCCATAAAAATGTAGTTATGTGGTCGATTCAGAAACCCATAAAAATGTAGTTATGTGGTCGATTCAGAAACCCATAAAAATGTAGTTATGTGGTCGATTCAGAAACCCATAAAAATATAGTTATGTGGTCTATTCAGAAACCCATAAAAATATAGTTATGTGGTCTATTCAGAAACCCATAAAAATATAGTTATGTGATCTATTCAGAAACCCATAAAAAGAGATGATAAATCAAATGAAGCATAATGATATATGAGCAGATATTTCAAAAAACATGTATGCAAATGCCAAAAAATGGATGAAAAAGACAAAAAAAAGTTAAAATAACAGTTGCTTGAACTCTTTTACAATGAAATAAAGTGTTTAAATACATTGTCTATCAAACAACGTCATGACTAAGATAATGTAATGTCAGATAGAATTGTTGGGCAAAAACTTTGCCATGAATGGTACAAATAGTAAGTATTCGAAGTATGTCATGTATGATGGTAGAGAAGAAAAACTTGATAAAACAAAACAAAACAAAGTTTGCACAATTTCTTACTGGAATTAAGGTAAAACTGATACTGAAGCTGTTGACTACAACATGAAAAAATATCAGCTTCCGCTGATGTTGGACTGGGAGAGTTGATTTTTTTTTGAAGTGTAATATGTAACAACTTATGATATTACTTGTAATGAAGCTTTAAAAATAGATACTGCAAGTGATAAAACTTACAAAACAGATACGGCATATGATGAAACTTGTATAAAGGTATTGTAAGTAATATAACTTGAAGAAGTAGTCATATCAAGTCAGGTATGCCTGGTATTAAACCATATGTTTTTGTTTTACTTTTTTTTATAAATGTTTTTAGAGAAGAATAAAAGTATTTGACTTGGAATGACCTTTGCACAAGTGTTGTGACTTGCAAAATATTTTGATAGGCAGCTCTGGCTTATCTTCACGTGGTGTCTATTGTTACAAATGATTATTATAGTGTTCCATTTATGAAATTGACTATTTTAATTATTTACTAAAAGCTAAGACAACTATTTAAACTTAGGATATCTAAAATGTTTTAATACAGAACAATATAAAATTGATTGTTACATTTTTTTATAGGATACAACACTGATATATTTGGTAATGAAATAAAATATATTTAATGAAATATCAAAAAATGAAATATACTAATTTATTTTGTTTGTTAAAGATACAATTATTTTTAAGAATTCAACATCTTTTTATTGTAGGTTGTGGGTAACCATTACCACCCTATTTAACAAACTTCTCAACTTAACCAAAATTTACGAATAGCAGCGGAAAGACTTTTTTTTCAAAAGTAGGCTCAGTTGTGGTCTTTATCTTTAGCTTGTAGGTTATACTTGGTGCAAAAAGCCTAATTCAGGTTTTAAATTGTTAACTTATTTTAAAATAATTATAATTGTTATTATAAAGATTTATTTATTTTACTTATTTATTTTTTTAGGTTGGGGGGGGGGGCACACGCCCCTCCCACAAGTCAATAAGCACACCACCAATAAATGAATTTCTTGTAGCAAAAAAAATTTTTATGTTTTTTATACTGTATACTAGTTTCACTTATTTTATTAAATGTAGAAATATTTATTTATTTATAATTAGAGAATTAAATATTTTTGAAATTAGGGTGTGTTAAACCATCACCACCATATCCACCACCAACTTTAATAAACATCAATCATTGATAGTCTGGAATAAAATTATAGCAATTTTTTGTATAAAAAAAATAACCGTTAGTTGAAAAAAAACACTTTTTATTGAAAGAAATATGCTTATTTTTAGGGTAAAGGTGGTGGTTCGGCACCCCCTTTAGCCCCCAGGAAACGCCTAATAGGTGGACGATGTTATAAATTTGTAGCCCACAGTTACACCTATCTTTTGATACTAAGTTATAGGTATTTAGACAAGAATTGACAAAGTTATAACAATTTAAGTAAAGAAAAATTAAATTTTGACCACAGTTTCTTCAACAAATCCATATATCAAAAATTTGCGACTAAAAACGTCATAACTTTTTGTACAATAGACCGATTTTAATAATTTTTTCACCTTTGAAATACTGTATTGAAGCACTTTCTAATGATATATAACAATCTAACCTTTGATCAATTTAAAATTTTCAATCCACATACCTACCGTTTGCAATATTTTAGAAGCCTGCAAAGGGAGATGTGGTATTTTAAGTAAGAATTCCAGTTTCTTTTTGTGACATATACAGAAATAACAAGTGGTGGATGTTATATTCTATATACCAAGTTCTAATTGTTTAAAATACTTTATAAATTACTTAGGGGGATAAAATATTTTAGAAGTAGACATCGGGGGGATGTTATATTTAAAGTAAGAATTTCAGTTTCTTTTTGTGACATATACAGTGAATAAACCGAGGGGATGTGATATTCTAGATACCAAATACTAATCGTTTGAAATATTGTATGAATTACTTAGGGGGATGTAATATTTTAAAGGTAAACATAGTCTATGTTTACATAGTCTATGTCATAGAGGGAATGTGATATTTTAAGTAAGAATTTCAGTTTCTTTTTGTGGTAAATACAGAATTTACAAGTGATCAATCTTATATTTTAAACACTAAATACTAACCGTTTGAAATGTTGTATGAATTACTTAGGGAGATGTAATATTTTAGAAGTAAACATAGAGGGAATGTAAAATTTTAAGTAAGAATTTCAGTTTCTTTTTGTGAAATATACAGTGAATAAACCAATGGGATGTGATATTCTAGATACCAAATACTGATCGTTGGAAATATTGTATGAATTACTTAGTGAAATGTAATATTTTAAAGGTAAAAATAGAGGGGATGCGATATTTTAAATAGCAATTATTAATCGTTTGAAATATTGTATGAATTACTTTGGGGGATGTAATATTTTAAAGGTAAACTTAGAGGGTATATTATATTATAAGTAAGAATTTCAGTTTCTTTTTGTGACATATACAGTGAATAAACCAAGGGGATGTGATATTCTAGATACCAAATACTAATTGTTTGAAATATTGTATGAATTACTTAGGGGGATGTAATATTTAAAGGTAAACATAGGGGGGATGTAATATTTTCAGTGAGAATTTCAGTTTCTTTTTGTGACATATACAGCGAATAAACCAAGAGGATGTGATATTCTAGATACTAAATACTAGTTATTTGAAATATTGTATGATTTACTTAGGGGGATGTAATATTTTAAAAGTAACCATAGAGGGGATGTGATATTTTAAATAGCAAATATTATTCGTTTGAAATATTGTATGAATTACTTTTGGGGATTTAATATTTTAGGAGTAAACATAGGGGCGATGTGATATTTTAAGTAAGAATTAAAGTTACTTTTTGTTACATATGCAGTGAATAAACTGATGGGATGTGATATTCTAGATACCAAATACTAATCATTTGAAATATTGTATGAATTGCTTAAGGGGATGTAATATTTTGAAGGTAAACATAGAGGGGATGTGATATTTTAAATAGCAAATATTAATCGTTTGAAATATTGTATGAATTACTTTGGGGGATGTAAAATTTTAAAGGTAAACATAGAGGGAATGTGATATTTTAAGTAAGAATTTTAGTTTCTTTTTGTGACATATGCAGAGACTCCACAGGGGGGATGTGATGTTTTAAATACCAAATATGAATTGCTTGAAATTTTGTACAAAAATACTTAAAGGGATCTAATATTTTTAGAAGTATACATAGGGGGATGTGATATTTTAAGTAAGAATTTTAGTTTCTTTTTGTGGTACAAACAGAATTTACAAGTAATAGATGTGATATTTAAGATAGCAATTACTACTCATTTGAAAAAATTTATGAATTACTTAGAAGATGTAATATTTTAAAGATTTACATACAGGGATGTGATATTTTAAGTTGGTTTTTTGCTTCTTTTCGTGATATATATATAGAGCTTACATATGGGGGTTGTGTTACTCCAGAAACCAAATACAATTATTATGCAACATGGTAGTAATTATGTTGGGGAATATTTCAGAAGCCTGCATAGGGAGATTTGGTATTTTAATTTAGAATTTTAGCTGTTATTTTCAAAATGTGCAGAGATTACTCAAATAGTCTTTTTTCATTTTTTTTTTTAGATTTAATTGAGAAAATTAAAAATATACTATTGTTTAATCAATTCATATGTATGACTTTCGACAAGTTAAAGTATTATAATAATGCAAGAGTTCACTAAAACTAGGAAAACAAAAATATGTAACAAATCACCTATTTCTGTTTTTATCTGTAAGGGCATAAACATTTAAATTGGTTCAATTTATGACAAAATGTTGAAGAAAAAGAAATGACTGCAATTTTTAAAGTTTCATTTATTATTACATTTATATATAAATATGTTCAAAACAAAATAAAGTTTCATTTCTAAAAACAATGCATCTCTTAAGGTACCATCGATTTGGATGCAAATATCACATTTGATCTAAAAATAAATATTTAATGTACATTTTTCTATTTGAATATATAAAGTATTTTTTCTATGTGAAATTTTAAAAAATAATTAAAATATATTTTATTACCCATTTAACTTTTTTTTGATTTTTTCTAGTTTTTGGACCAATTTCACTTCCACAAATGCGACAAACTATTCTGCCAACTTTTCTGACCTATTGATTTAATTTTGCATCATTTTTTTTTGTCTTTTTTATAGATATCATTTAATATCGAAGTAGTGTAAACATTTTCAGTTCTCTAAAGAATCTCACAACCTCCTTTATCTCTCTTTCTGTATGCATTAACTTCTTCATGTGGAAAGACACACACCAATACTTCTTCATTTGTATAACTTTCAGAAAATTAAAATATGTAAGCTTATTTATATATATATATATATATATATATATATATATATATATATATATATATATATATATATATATATATATATATATATATATATATATATATATATATATATATATATATATATATATATATATATATATATATATATATATATATATATATATATATATATATATATATATATATGTATATATATATATATATATATATATATATATATATACATAGTCCCATAAACTGTAGTTTTAAAGAGCGCGTTAATAAACCAGACCAGAAAAAGTTTAAAAACTTAAATTTTTTTTTTTTTTAAATGATAGACTGCCTGCCCAAACCAAACCGTTAGTCGATGTAGCAGCACTCCGTTGCGAGTCAGGCTATTTGTCAGTCGTTGTAGCAGCACTCCCTTGCGAGTCAGGCTATTTGTCAGTCAATGTAGCAGCACTCCCTTGCGAGTCAGGCTATTTGTCAGTTGATGTAGCGGCACTCTGTTGCGAGTCAGGCTATAAGATAGTCGATGTAGAAACACTCCCTTGTAGCAGCAGGCTATAAGATAGTCGATGTAGCAACATTTACGCATGTTTTAAAAATGTTTTTTAATAAAACAAAAAAAAAAACACCACTTATTAAAAAAAACTTTGTAGTCGTTATTATTGCAGTTTTTTAAATATTTTTTAAAAAACAATAAAATTTAATGTACTTCCGCATTAATTTAATTGCTTTGACATTTCGACTACAATCAAATACAGCTTAAGAGGCGAGGTAATTAAAATTGTAGTTGAAAGAGACTTTTTTTACATTAAAAGACTCTTTCGACTACACTATAAGGATATATATATATATATATATATATATATATATATATATATATATATATATATATATATATATATATATATATATATATATATATATATATATATATATATCTTCATAGAAAGAGCTCTTTAAACAAGATATGCTAATATGCTGTATGATGGAAAAATTCCTTTGGACGCTTGCAGTATGTAAAAAAGTATAATTGTTTTTTGAAAAAATTTATTTCTATAAGTACAAAAAGTTTAACTTTTAGTGAAAGGTTAGGTTCCCCATTTTTTTACCGCGAACCTAACCTTAAACCTGATTTTGAAACTCACTTGTGTTTTAGATAATCAAACCAGGTAATAAAGTAATTCACTCTATGAACCCTATGGGAGAACAAATAAATTCCATCAAGAAGAAGTGAAATGGAAGTATGATATTATTATTAGATATTCCTATGTCAAAATTTGTATTTACATCTTTTATAATTTTTTTACTATTATACAGTAGTTGTTACTTACAACAAAGATATGGTGTTTCAGAAAAGTTTGAAATATTAACATTACGACATGCCATACAAGCTGAAGGTATAACAATTGGAGTATTCTGCTATAAGGTAACTTTAAGAGTCTTAACTGTAATTGATATATATATATATATATATATATATATATATATATATATATATATATATATATATATATATATATATATATATATATATATATATATATATATATATATATATATATATATATATATATATATATATATATATATATATTTACATATGTGTGTGTGCGTAAAAATACTTTATAATTAAATTAAAGAATCATTAATTTTTTTAGATAAATGTTTTTGAATACCTATGCCGTCTTCGTATTAAATCAGTTTTATTTAGCAATTCATCCAGTGAGAGTAACCCAGCTGGCTACAGTACTTCGATTCGATTCTTCAAAACATTAATAAATGGAATGGCATTCAATATATTGTTTTATATTTAGAATTAAAATTTTATTTAAATGAAGACAAATTTAAAAAAAAAAATGCAATATTGTTTTTTTGTACAAAAATTTTATTATGAAGTAAATTAATTAATCATACTTTTTCTTTACTGTTTACTAATATTTTGAGATAAATATTAACAACTTCGTCACTGAGACATTCGTTTAAAGTGTCTTGTAACGAATAATCGTATACCTTGCAGCCACCTAAATCTGGATATATACTCATAATGACTTTTACAGGGTTTTTAATATGGATACATTTTATTATTCCGTGACCTATTTATGAAATGCAATTTAAGCATAATTTCATTAAAATTTAAGCATAAGTCCTTACATCTAATAAAATAACGACAATTACATTTATTGAAGATTACATGTTTTAAAACTCTACACCTATTTTTTCACTAAGTGGGATAATGTTTAAATTAATTATTTAAATAGGTTTACATAAAAATCTTTATTTCATTCGTACGCCACTGAATAATAGATACCTTCTGTATCATCAACTATGTAGCCTTTTTTTGTATTTACTATATCTAGAATATTAAAATAAATAAAAACAAATTAAAATAAAACGTTAACAATTATAAATGAATACGTAAGTTTTTAATACATACCTTTACTGTCTTTAACTAAAAAGTTTTTTATTGTCTCTGCCTTCTCTGAGTAACAAGCAATACTTTAAAACAAAATAGTAACATTTATAAATGAAAAGTTACTTTATAAATCCTACTTTTACCATCTTTAACTACAAAACTACTTTTTTGGATCTGCCACTTCTAAAAAAGCAATACATTACAATAAAAAGGTAACGCTAACAAAATGTAAAAGTGATTTATTAGCTGCAAAAATTTTTATAATTATCTGTCTCCTCTAGAAAATAAATTATAAATAAAATAAAACGCCAACAATTAAAAATGAATAAGTTTTTAATTCATACCTTCACTATCATTAACTTCAAAGCTTTTTGTTGGTGTCTCTGCCTTCTTTTAAAAATAAACCATAAAATAAAATAATGAAAAAATATATGTTTTAACTATAAATTAAAATAAGAAAACGAATATTTTACCCGAGTATAAATCAAAAAACAATAAAATTTCATATTAGTATTACCCGTAGAAAGTTAAACAAATATTATGTTTGAAGAAAAAATAAAATATTTTATAAATAGAATGAAAACTTTATCGAAGTAACCAGTATACCAGTAACTTCTGCAGAATAATAATAATTAAAAAAAAAATTTCTTTTCTCAGCGTTTTTTTAAAAACGTTTAAAAACCTGTATTATGTGTAATAAAATTTAGACGTCTTTGAATAGCTATGGGTTTCTGAGACAAGTGTCTGACAAAGATGTCTTTTAAACTAAAATAAGTGAACATAAACTCTCAACCTCAACTAATATATTTAAAAATATAATGTAACTTTACTTTGTTTTAGCTCATTCTTTTTCTAGCGCTTATCTTTATGTAAACCTTTTAATTTTCTAAACTGATCAAAACGAGCTTCTTGATTTACAAAAAAGTTATGCCAAATATTGTGCGGCCGTGGCGCAGTGGTTAGATCGTATGCTTTATAAGCAGGAGATCCAGGTTCACATATTTTGCGTCATGGTAAGAAAGGAGGCGTGAACTTCCTGGTTAAATGCACTTCCGCGGTGCTCTGTGACAAGTCCGTTAGGACTTCTTGGGGTACCTAAATAACAAATTAAAAATATATATATATTATAAATAAAGACAATTTCTGTGCAGATTTTTTTGTTATGTTTATTATGGCTACGCGTTGGTACTGGACTCGTTGAATAAAAATTTAATCATTCTTTATTATAACAATTAATATAGTCAATTTTATTAGCTAATTCAATCATTTAAATTAAGCCACCACGCTCTCATCTTTTTTTCAAATATATATATATATATATATATATATATATATATATATATATATATATATATATATATATATATATATATATATATATATATATATATATATATATATATATATATATATATATATATATATATATATATATATATATATATATATATATATATATATATATATATATATATATATATATATATATATATATATATATATATATATATATGCACTGTGGGCATAGAGCAATAAAAATCACATGTTTTCATGTTAGTAAATTTTTTCATTTTAAATTACTTAATCCTAAATAATCATAATCCCAAAACCGTTTATGTACTTTGTCTTTTCCATCTTTTACAGTACATTATTCTTTATCATTTCAGTTCTGTATGATATAATGACTTTGGAAGATAAATTATAACTTAGTTATAATTTATCTTCCAAACGATAAATTATAACTAAGTTATAATCTTCCAAACGATAAATTATAACTTAGTTATATTTTTAAGATCTACGACGTAGATCTTAAAAATATAACTAAGTTATAATTTATCGTTTTCACAATTTCTAGTTATAAATGGTTTTATGTCAGCTATTTTGTTTATGAAAAAATAATGTTTACCGTTTCATTTTTTGGGTTGTTTATATATCATTTATTGTTGTCTTTTGTAATAGAATTTTTTCTAAATATTGGAGCAGTATGCCGATTTATTACATCCAAGTCATTAATATTTCTGTATTGTTATATCACATCACCTCTTGATCTTCTGATTTTTAATGTGGGGAGAAAGATTTATCAGTGAGTTTTTACATGATAAATCTTTTAAACTATAAACACGAACTGCTATATGTTGGAGTTGTTCAATCATAATAACATGTTTCTGTATATGTAAACTCCTTAATAGGGTTCAATATTTAAGGTGATGTCTAAATAATGATGTACTATTAACGTTAAATTTCTTTTATCTAATAATTTCAATAAGTGTTTGGTTTGTCCTAATGTCAAACTTCCAAAGTCATTTTTTCTCAATAATTTTATTTTTAAAACGCTTTCATTAAGTTATAAAGAATTGCCAATAATGATGCTACTAACCTCATTTTTGTTTTAGTATGTCGCATATATTTTTATATATTACGTTTTAGTATGTGTGCTCCAAACTTTCTGCAACTTATAATAAAACTACATTCTTTAGGTTTAATGCCTTTTCTTATTTTGTTATTTTATATGAAAAACTTTAAATAAAATAGTTTTAATTATTAGATTTCATAGTATTGATGTTTTGTTTTTAGAGTTTGTTTTTAATTAATGTGCCACCACATAAATGTAGCAAATATTAATGAAGCTATGGCAATAAACTTAATGTTGACACAAAAATGCCAAATCTCAAGTTAAATGGTTTATCTAAATCTGGTAAGTTTACACTTAAATAAGTTATTGATATTACTGTTTTCAGTGTTTAAGTGAAGAAAAAGTTTTTTTCCCTTATTTTTACTATTACCAATGACTAGATTTACTGTGTTTTATAAAATAGTTTCTGTGTATAAAAATATTTGGGAAGATTGAGAGGCATTTTAATTTTTAAATTTTTTATTTTTTGTTTATTCAAATAACTTTTACAATAAAACAATGAATAAAATACAAACAGTAAGAGTTACAAATTTTGTTGACTCTACGATAAGAAAACAGATACTCGCAGAAGGTGTTGTAAGATCTTGTCATTGAGAACCGCCTAAACAGATTTTAAATTAAAAAATGTTTAAGATGCTTGAAATTGTAATTATACTGTGGCAACATTTGAGTGTTATCTATTTATAATAAAATGATAAATTGTGAGTCATTTACTTTATTTAGAATCTGCTGTGAATAAAATAAATATCATGAAATGTGAAATCTCAAGACTTTTTTAATGAAGTTTTGCTCCAATATAATTGAAGTACCACATTTTTTAATATATATAATTGTAAGTATCCTGCATTTGGTTGTAATTGTAAATTTTCATTGTGGTATTCATTACATTTTAGTTCACAAAGTTATAAAAAGATTAAGGATATTTTTATAACTTTGTCTCAAGTCTATGTAACTATGGTTTGTTGTTAATGAATTGAAGTTTTTCGCCAATAATAAAAATAATTGTTATTATAACATGGTAACTATGTTGTTTATAAGTTGTGACCATTTTGTATATATGTTGTTACTATATTGTATAAGTATATATGTAATAAATTATTAAGCTGTGCTTATGTTTGTTTTTATTTTATTAAGTTAAAACGGATGCTAGCACTAAAGAAGAAAATAACGTTACAAATTGAAGCAGAAATTTAACGAATCATATTGACGGTTAGATATGAATTGCAGAAAAGCACCATTGTCGAATCGTTATGAATCAAATCTTTGTATTATAGTTGCGTAAATATAGTTTAAAATTTAAGCCTGTTTTTTAAATTTAACATAATTAAAATTGTCAATAATCATGTTTTTAACACATTTTATTGTCCTTAAACTCATGAAAAATGAGTACTAGCTGTATCCTCAAACTAAATAAATAATACTAGCTGTATCCTCAAACTCAAACAATAATAAAACAATGCGTAATTCAATAAATAATTTTGAAAATGTAACAAATCAACTCGTCTCAGTCAGAAAAAATTATCAGTTAGACTTTTTAAAGTATAAAAATCTTTCATCAAATGGTGTTGTTTCGACTTCAAGTTTTCTTAGTACAAAAGCGGTTGGAAATGTAAAAAATACAAAAAATCAAATAAAAAAAGTAAACAATGACACTAAAATAATCAATCCTCGTAATAACCAAACAGATGAATATAAATGGCCAGTAGGAACGACGCTAATATGCGGAGGCTCCATTTTGATGGGGATTAACGAAAAAAAATGCATAAGCTTGGAAAAGTAAAAGTAAGAGTATTTAGTGGTGCTACTATTGAAGACATGTATTATAACCTTGTTCCACTTTTGAAAAAAGAACCTTCAAAAATTATCCTGCATGTTGGAACAAATAATTGTACAAATGATTCGTCTGAATCTGCTTTGGCAAAATTAAAAGATCTTGTTTCCTTCATTTCAAAATCTAACCTTTCATGTTCAATAATTTTATCTACACCAATTCGTCGTTTCGATAATGCTAAAGCTCAATTAACATTAAATGCTATAATAGCTGAGCTCATACTTATCTCAAGAACTTTTTCCCAACAAAAAAATCTTTAGGACATCTTTTCCATATTAAGGCATTCAGACTTTCATTGTTATTTTGAGTTTGTCCGTGCAAACATTTTGATAACAATGTTTCATTTGTCAAATCTGTAAATATAGGCATAAGTACTGCTTTAATTGCTAATGGTAAGCTTAATTTGGTTTTGTATGTTGTTTCACCAGTTACTTTATTACTCTGCCACAAACACCAACTAGTTCTAGTTCGTGGGCAAAATTTGTGTCTCTCTGACTCTTCACTTATGTCACTGTTGTGAAATAAAACAGCCCAAGCAGCTTTTTTCATTGCATAAAGGTTATTCACATTTTGACGGATAGCCATACCAAAATAATTTTGAAGCGTATTTATGGCTTTATCTGTCAGACGACCTTTTCCATTTATTCTTTTTCCATCTGAAAGAAACTGACCTTTAAGTGTAACTCTAAGGTTACGCGCACGATTTCCAAGTCTCTTTTTGTAATATCCAACACAATAAAGTCTGTTTATTTCAAAACCTGGATATGGATTACTTGTACATTATTATATGCTGAGCTGTCACCGCCTCCAATATATCCTTCATATCTCAAACTATGCTTTTCAATTAACCGTTGAAAAATTGAAACAGCACCAGAAGCCATGGATCCTGATGATTTATTGTGGTTAGCTTCACAAACATGATTTATTTTCCAGTTTTGATAACCTGGTGTTGACTTTTTTTTTGTTCCAATAACTACAAGCTTTGCAGAACTTAGTTAACAAAATTGAATCAATACATTTTCCATTCTTTCTTGATATTGCAGTGACAATACCATTTAAAGATTGATGACCTCTCTTTTGCCAGGTACCATCAACAGAAACTTGGCAAGCAGAAACATCATTAACATTGCTTGAATTAGAAATCTTTGGCAGCACTTGACATACTTGCAGAAGCAACTTCATTATAAATATTTAACAAGTTGTTATTAATTGCACTATAATTTTTAAAATTCATAGGAGATGGCATGTTCATTACCGCAGCAAATTTGCATATAGAATGATAACCTTTACCAATTTCACGAAAAGCAGTAACAACTTGAAAATTAACTGATGCAGTAGGAACACCTGGAGTACTTTTAGATTTTTTAGTTGAAAACTGAGACGTGTGCCATCCTTTGCTAAATGGACAACAAAGGCACTGTAAAGTTAAATAAAAACAAAAACCTTTCTTGCTTTTTAAGTCATTTTCCAAACAAACTTTATTTCCACATTTAGGGCATTTAAACTAACTAACCATGTTTTGCTCTTTCACGCATAAGAAGTTTTTTATCCCGTAATAAAGCTACACTGTTGTTTAACGCCTTCATAATGTCAAATTTTTCTTATTGTCCCCTAATATGGATGTTTTGTTCTAAATACTATGACAACCTTATAAATAAAATTCATAAAAAAGCTCTTTGTATTGTCCATAAAAGGTTTGACTTATGTCTTGATGAATTGTTAAGTTTTGATAATAGTCCAAGGATCCACTTAAGAAATTTGCGCTTTCTTATGATAGAAGTTTTTAAATCAGTTAATTATCTAAATCCACAATTTATGAAGGATTTATTCAATACAAAAAACCTTCCTTTTAAACTTCGTTGTAGCAAAAAAATAATTCTACCTTCAAATGGCTCCAAATATAAGGATCAATGTTGTACTATATTTAGAGCCATCTCGTTATGGAACACTCTAGATAACAAGACCATGTCCTCTAAAAGTTCTGAGGTGTTCAAAAAACATATTAAAAATTGGTATGCAAAAAATTGTTAATGTTAAATCTGTTGTTTTTAATTTCTATTTTTATTTATCCTGACATTATAATACAATATTTACTCATTTTTCTGTAATGAAACGGTTGTAATTTGAATTTGAATTTGAATATTTTAATGTTATTTGTAATTTATATTATAATTTTGTAAATTTTCTTTTTTTTTTTTTTTTTTGATTTATTTATTATTTATTTTTTTTAACGATTTTCATGGGAGTGTGTATTGTCTATAATTGTTAAATGTGTTGATTTTAATTAGTTTTATTTTTGTTAAAACTATTGTAACCATCAACAAAAAATAAAGTTTTTTAATAAATTAAATTAAAAATACGCCAATGTTAAACCAAAAAAATTATAGTCGATTATGCTTAAAACAACTTTGAATAATTAAGAAGACGGGGTCTAAAAGGAAAGTATAGGGACTTCAAATAGGATTGCCCAATGAAAATCCATAACAATCCCATGCGCGACCCAGTTAGTTAACAAAGACAAAATCACGATGGTACGGTAAAATTCGTATGTAAAATATGTATGTAAAAATTGCTAAGCATTGTTTTGCCAGTTCTTGTCCCGCACTGGCTAGCCACTGTTTTGCCAGCGTTGGCAACCGAAGCCGTTCCAGCGCGGCAGCCTATATAGGACCAGTGCGGGTCCACTATATCCTTGCTGTTTGGGAAAAAGTTTCGATTTGATAAGCTAGGACTTAAATAGAAACCCCTGACCCTGACTCTGGGTGAAAATTTGTTTTTCGATGAATTGAAAAGTCCTATCTCAGTAAGTAGACACTATTTGGCCCAATAGCGAACCAGGCTCGGCTGCCAAGCTGTACCAGGCCTGGCACGCCAGCGCCGGGTTGCTCATTGGTTTTTACAAAGGGCCAGTATACGCAAGCCAGTGCTGGCGCAGCAACGTTTTGCTAGCGGCAAGCCAGCATTGATTCAATTTAGGGCCAACGCTGGCAATCAGCGAAAGTTGCATTAAACGCCCACTATACAAAATTGCCCAAATAAACTACTTTTTTCATCAATTTTTCTAATTTTACTTATTATATATATATATATATATATATATATATATATATATATATATATATATATATATATATATATATATATATATATATATATATATATATATATATATATATATATATATATATATATATATATATATATATATATATACATATATATATATATATATATATATATATATATATATATATATATATATATATATATATATATATATATATATATATATATATATATATATATATATATATATATATATATATATATATGCATATATACATATATAAATTTTATATATTTATATAAAAATAATTATTATATCTATTATGTTTGTCAGTTATCTTTTTTTTTTTACTTTTTGTTAAAATAGACATAAGTTAAGTTTACTTTTTGTTAAAATAGACATAAGTTAAGACATAACAAAAAACAATAATTGAATTCATATAATATATTTTTTGTTAATAATTTACAAGTTAATAAATTTACATTAAAAATATATAAAAAATAAATGCATTAAATTTATCATTAATAGCATAAATACTTGCAAAGCTTATAATAATGTCAAATATACAATTAATATAAAATATAACACATAAAACAGATCATGCAAGACTTTGAGAACATTATACTTTATCAGATTCATCAAAAATAAAGCGTTCAAATTGTGGTAATGGTAATCCAGACAAAGGTTTCAATGTCAATGATTGGGCAGTATAGCTACAATTTTTTGATGAACTGGTTTTTTGGAATGACTTTTTTTCTGCTCTTTCTTTTCTGCCTCTAATTCTGTCTAAAGCACCAGAAAAAAAATCCACAACTCCTTTTAAATTTCGCTGTATATGGTATCTTTTGACAGCAAATATCTTCGTATTGCTTCTATAAACATAAACGCAGTCATATATCAAGTGTTTTTATGAACAAAATTATAAGAGTATACCTAAATATAGCTGTTGTATATATCTGTATATGTCTATATCTGTATCTCTCTCCTTTTGTTTATATATATATATATATATATATATATATATATATATATATATATATATATATATATATATATATATATATATATATATATATATATATATATATATATATATATATATATATATACATATATATATATATATATATATATATATATATATATATATATATATATATATATATATATATATATATATATATATATATATATATATATATATATATATATATATATATATATATATATATATATATATATAAGGCAAAGGCTATACCATACAAATTTAAATACCTAAATAAAGTTATTACTCGTGAGGAAAAGATAATTTATCAACTCAGAAAAAAATTAAAAGAAAAGTATTTAAATTTACAGTTAAAAAAACTTTAAAATCAAATTTTTTTTTTGAAACATCAGTTGA